ATTCCGCAAAACAGTGAAAATGTTGAATCAACTACTTTGGATAAAATATACACGATTCCTAAAAATTTTCACGATAGAAAATAAACACAAACTTTCCTCGAAATTTTACAAGAAAACCGCCGTTGAATACAGCGGAAAATAAACACAAACTTTCCTCGAAATTTTACAAGAAAACCGCTGTTGAATACAGCGGTTTTCATGGTAAAAGGTACTTTACATATTATTTTTTTTATATCAATTGAACTAAATAGGACACGTATAGTATCCGATACACATTTTCCAAATGGCTTTACTTTCGTTAGTAAAAAAATAAATTCCGAAATTAAGCCAGTGCTCCTGCCGCTCGACCCGAGCAAAATGAACCGTATTAGTACGGGAACATTTTGAATTCGAGCTAAGGTAGTTTCGACTCTTAACGAACCTCTGCCGGGAAGGCAGCTCCCATGATAGGGACGGAGAGGGCCCCAACCCCTGAAGGGTCCTGAAAGAGCGACTTGAAAACAGGATTAACTGTCGTTCACGACTTTTTTGACTTTACGACGACAGACTGTTGTGACGATGGGAAGAGCTGCAACGTGTCGTGTGACGATAAATGAAACGTCACGATAAAAAACGTAACGACAGATTCAAACGATTCTAACAATGAATAAAACGTTAGGACATAATGGGAACGCGCCCTTACGTTGCGTAACACTGGTCAATACGCGCCTTTCATATTATGTGAATGTGTGCGTCCGTGCACAATCAGCAGTCTGTTGAGTTGAGTTACTATATTTCTCTTATTTTGTTATGTCCTTACTCTGGGTGAAACATTAAGTAGGCACGCCGAGCTCGATTTTTCCCACGTTCTATCATGCACGTTTTCAAATAAAGTTTCAAATTCAAATATAACCTAATAAAAATTAGAATGTCGGTTAGAATTTTTTATTATTACGTTTTTTCATGCTCAAACATTAAACGGTAATGGTTAAGAGTTCTGTTAACTCGACTGTCATAAATAGTCGCATCTTTTTTATGTGAGGCCAGAGGGGTCATAGAGTATGTCATTAGGCGTATCAGAAATTGTTCTTTTTTATGACCTTTATAAAAGGCTCACGCACCGTCAAGGTACTCCCACGCCTTTGTTAACAAAAATAACGGTCTGTAGTCACGTATAGACAATAATTCAAATTCACTCAATTAATCTTTATTTCATAGGTAAGGAAATTTACACTTGAATCGTCACATTGGTCAAACGTCACTACTCGTTCCCCTAAGAAGAAGGAGTAAGAAACTCTTGGGGTTGCTCTTTGTACACAGACTTTGTACACATTTATTATTTAAAATATTTATTTCAAATATCAATCTTCGTTTGCTCGATTTGCCCAGCTCGTAAGTACTCTACCTCTAAGATGGTTCTCTTCGCAGTCTCATCGCCTCGCTTGAAGTTAGTATATGACACAGGCTATGCTTAAAAGGAGACTCCAGACTATTGTTAAGAAACCATTTTTAATAGCAGCAGTAGAACTGCTTGTGAAAGAGTTCATCCAGGGAAGTACTGCCATGCAGAGCCGGATTTATATTTTTTATGAGTGTAGGCCACTTTATTTCCGCCGCCCCATGTACATACCTTTCTAAAATAATAATATTCCATTTGTAGTAAAGAAGGCCTTAAAGTTAAAAAACGAATGAATTAGTCATTAACAGTGAGCGTAAAAAAGAAACAAGATCTACAATTTTTTACGGGACTTTTTAATAGAAAAATCATCTATAATATCATCATAGTTAATGGTGTTCATTATATCTGCTTCTATGTAGAGAAGAGCTAGAGAATTCATTTTTCTTGATACAATGAAGACCTTTGATAATCACTCACGCGATAATATAGGTTTCGATGGAATAAATCCCTATATTTCTAAAGATAAATATAGGGATTTATTTAAGGTATAAAAAACCGTGAGAAACCCAGTGAACATGTTTGACTTTTGTCTCCATTGAAATCTGCCGCGCCTAGCACGCTGCCGCCCCTAGGCCGCGGCCTATACGGCCTATTTATAAATCCAGGACTGCTGTCATGTTACTTATATCTGCCGCGAAGCAGTAATGTGAGCATTACTGCGTTCCGGTTTGGAAGGGTAAAGGTGCTGGTGAAATTACAGACATATGGGATTAGTCAACTTATGTCTCAGCGTGACGGGCACAGTGGCAGTGTCCCTAAGATATTTGGGATTCAAAGCTGTGAGTGGCACTGCAACTGATATGGACCGGCGTGTCGCTTACTACCAGGCGCACGACTTGTTCGTCCCGTCACTTGGTATTATAAAAAAACCATGTTTTGAGACAAATAACGATTATTATTCATTCTCTTAAGTTTTCTTAGTCAATTTAAAATAATAGTCTTAGGGTCGTATTTCAGAACTCTACTCAATGCTCAAGTCAGGACTTGAGTATGATTTAAAGCACTAGAAATCATACTCAAGTCCTTACCATTAAGGTCGTATTTTCAATGCTTGAAATCATACTCAAGTTCTGACTTGAGCATTGAGTAGAGTTTTGGAATACGGCCCTTTAATTTATATACTCACATCATGGCATGTTCACCTGTAGGTAATTTGGTTAAACATTTTAACAGTTATAGTAACAGATTGTATAAAGTGTTGGTGATTTTAATTATACAAATCGTAGATAGAGAGTCTGCAAGAGCTAAACGGGTCACTACCACGGATATTTGTCGTTCAGGTGCGCAGAAGCTTTTATTTCACTATTTTAAACCCGTCAACGGCAAATTTTATTGTAGAAACGTATACATTGCATTGAAATTTGTGACTTTTTAAAGACGACTGTGATGAACAGCCAGTTTATTTGTATTCCTCGTATTAATATTATGTTATTTTATTGATCATATAAAAATTACTATTCTTCTTACCATAACTAAAATTTCCATAAATGTAAAGTGACGCTTGTTCAAGTTCAAATGTGTATCCAACTTTGCATTGTAAGTGTTAAAGGTCATGACCGCGTATTCACCATTTAAAGGGTGGTATATGCGACGGAAGATAATTAATATAGATCTGACATGCGTGGAAAATAAATGAGGGTACGTTTTCCTACATCGCTGCATGGATGTAGATGTACGATGGATTACCTGTAATTTGACATTTCGTTTTGTCGAATAACTAAAACGATTTCTTCACGCAAATAAATCATACTTTATTGATCCATTGCAGAATATCTTGGCCATTATCTGGCACGGTCTTAAGTGCTACGTCGGTGCTACTCTGTCCAATGAAAATCAGCGTCGTAGCGCGAAAGTGTTACTGACAAGTGAGACGACAACTGCGCGGGCGCTCATTATTATTATGTTACATAATTAATTATTTTAGTTATTTTTGTACTATTTATTAACTTGTATTTTTTTTATAATGTCAAGTGACGAGGCGAACAAGGCGTGCACCTGATGGTAAGCTACACGCCGGTCCATAACAGTTGCAGTGTCACTTAGAGCTTTAAATCGCAAAGATCTGAGGGGCACTACCACTGCGCCCGTCACCCTGAGACATAACTTGACAAGTCCTATGTGCCTCAATTTTACCAGCATCCTTCCACTCTTCAAAACCGGAACACAGTTATGCTGACATTACTGCTTGGCGGCAGAAATAGGTAAGGTGGCATTACTACCCTCGACGAACTCTTTCAGAAGAACCTCTACTGCTACTAAGAATAAGTACTATGAGACATGTTGTGCTTTTCATTAAAATTGATACTTAATAGTGGAAAAGGTTCCAATTTTTACTGATCACCTAATTCGATGATTCCCAAAGTAACAAAAGAAATGCTCACATTACCGATTGGCGGCAGAAATAGATAAGATGGCAGTACATCCCTGGACGAACTCTTTGACAAAGAGCTCTACTACTACTAAAGAACTACAAAAAGCCACTTACATATTTGTGGACGTTACATTAAGACAGCACGGTGGATACCGACACGTTTGTATGTTTGTCAGTGCTATTGAACTTTCTAACAGCAAAAGTAAGTTTTAACCAAATTTCTTTTTCTAAAACCCTTGTGGTTTTAGTACTAATTCAATATGACACAACGGTAAACTTCTGTTAAGTGTGTTTCACAGCAGTGCAGCACAAGCCCCTGCGTTAGGCGCACAGCGATAACTGCCTGCAGTTAATCTCAACTGCATGCAGTCGATTTCGTCTTCATGGAGTTGTATTATACGGACTTTGCGCATGCAGTTCGTTTAGTAACAGCCGCTAAAGTCAGGATTGTCATGATGTCGTCCAACCTCCGATAGGAGATGAATCCCAAGAAGAAGACTATTTAAGTTTTATATATGAACGTAATACAGTATAATAGTTAAAGTATGATGGAGCTATGTATCTACAGTACCATAAGATAACCCTTTAATTGATTTTAAGTGAGACCCTTAATTGGTTTTGAGTAGATCAGTGTTAAGAAAGGTATTTAACAAACTAAACCTTTATCCTAAAGGACTAACCACACATGCCGCGTGCCAGTTTGTATGAACTCCGTGTGGACACGACATGTGTGAACGAGCTCATACAAAATATACGCAGCGACATTTACGAATGCCATCAAGCACTTATGGAGGTATGTATACACAACCATGTAACTCTACAGTGGATTAAAGGACACAGCAGCTCACGTGGCAATGTCGCAGCAGACGAACTAGACATAAAAGGGTCGTAGACGGAACCGTACAACCAGAACCCATAGTGTCCCTCCCCTACCAATGGTCCAGAACAACTATATACAAAGGTACAAAATTTTACTAATAAGAAACGGGTTACTATGATAGAAAATGTTGTCCTAAATCTTATTACAAATGCATTTTCAACAAGATGTCTAATATTGGTGCTGGCAACACCACCTTACATAAATACAAATATCAATCAAAATGGAAATTCCTTTACACGTTTCTATTGAATGCGTATGAAGGCTCTCAGAACTGTACAGTTTATAACAATGCGTCAAAGAGGTTTACATACCTTAATTTGAACTGGCTGAAAAGGATCTTCAATAGGAACGGTGAAGCATTCATCCCAGACAGGATTCAGGTCTCTATACACGATTTTCGACTTGTACAACAGACGTCCACCAGTCTTGAACTTCACGTAAGGGTCACTGGTGCCTGATAACAAACCTATTTTGGACCCCACCAAAAAGTATTTATGTTAGAAGAGGAAGAAGCCAAACTTAAAAATAAAAAGAAAGCTACAGTTTTATTTTTAATATTACTTTTTTCTTTTTTAAATTTTGAAAATTGAAACTGAAACTTATAGACAGGTATTGTTGAAAATTTAATATTAATAAAAAATATATAGTGGATACAAATATTCTAATAGTTTTTACAAAATTATTATCATTACGTAAATATGTACCTATATTAATGAACGTAATGGTATACTTCTTTAAATATAGTATGATTTTAATGGCCAATTAAATGTTAATGAGAAAAAAATAGTTTTCTTTTAATTAAATAGTAAAAATTAACTCGATCTATAATCTAAAATAAAGAAATAAACATGTGAAAATTATTTAAAAGCAAAGCTCTATGTAAACTGCAATGAAATTAAAAACTAACATGCAAAATAGGTGTAAGAAAAATATTGATTATCTTTGTGTAACTGTGTTTCGTTAAGTGGCAAAATTAATTAACTATCTTATTCTATCTATCTATTTTATTGATCTAAAATAGCAAGTGAGTTCTATGATTTCTATGCTGATCTATATAATTGCAAATTTTTGCAAAGCTAGTGATTATCAATCACCTTCAAGTTGACTGGTAGAAAATGCCCAAGAGCATAAGGCCGCCATTTTGCGTTGTGCGGAACAGTGGAAATGAGATGAAATAGGTTATTATTAAAAAAGAATATTAATAAATAGGTTCAATTGCGCTGTTAATGCAAACAGCCAGTTTTTTAAAGCCATTAGACAATATAAAAAGTAGACATTCAGTTTTTTTAATTAACTGAAAAAGCTTCGGCTTATTTTTTTTTCATTTGGCTGTGGTGTGCCAGACAAATAGATAAAATATTAGTGAGTGAATTTTGTGTGTCGTGAGTGTTATAATGAATCATAAGTGAGTGAACTCACCGTTTTTGTCCATGGCGATTAGGTTTTGGCCTCTTTTCAAGTGAACTCTTAGTTGGAAGAACGAAAATTGTCTTAAGTGTTGCTCTCTTAGCTTTTGGCCTTCATCGGGTTCCTGTAAAAAAGAATAATATTGCAACAATATAATAAATTTGTAGATCAAATCCAACCACCAATTTCATTATTAATACATTATTATTATTATTATTATTAGAATAATGTGCCAAAAACCGCATTTATAAAATATACATTATATACCTGTAGAGAATGATAAAACAATTTTGTCGAAGTTTGCAAGGTAAAGCGCCTGTAAAGTAAATCGAGCAATGTAGTCTGGCAAAGTAATTTGTTTCATTTATCAAGCATTGCTACTTGTCGGAGAGCAGGAGTACAAATTTATGGTTTCAATGAAGCGATTTAATGTTTTCATTTCTTTTGAAACGTTGACGTATTTATTATGTACGCAGATAAGCGTTCACATTATTAATTATTTGATAATTCGTCCATATAGTCCCACATCGCCTATAGATGAAATATTATATGGGTACATATTCTCTATAGTGCATTTTATGAATGTTGTCGTATAAAGAAGTTTTGGAGTATAGAAGATAGAAGTTTCCACAGAGTTGCAATAGATAGCAATAAGGCGATATGCACTTTAACGATTCCACTAGCTTTTAAGAGGGATTTAAGAAAATTTATTGGCTCTATTAGAGTTTCTACTCTTAAGAAAAACCATAATATCTAGTTATAGACAACAACAAGATTCAGTCTAGATAAATTGGTATGGTGCTCTACTGAGTGAGCTACTTAGGAGTATAGATGGTTAATATAACATATAGCTCAAATTATAACGTTAAATTAAAAAATAACTATAGCAACTATAATTTAAAAGCTGCTAAAATTATAACGTATTTTTCTTTGGATTGGAGCATGGTAAGAAAATTAAAACAAATGCCATCCAGCGACATAATTTTACAAACTTTCAATGCGTCGATAACTATTATAGTATAAAGGGAAGCTCATTGATTTATCTTATAAAACACCCATCTATTTTTAATTCATAGTTACAAAATTCAAAATTGATAATGAAGTCGTTGGTAACTAACCATAAAAAACCGTAGCCTATACATAGATAGACCATAGACGCTATAACCTATAAATTAGGAAGTTAGCTCGTCAACTATTTCGTGTTGAACTACTATAATTTTAACACTTTAAATAGCGCGTTATAAAAATTTTGCATATAAAGCGCTAAACGAGTAGCAGCAGTTAATCTCATATCTACTTGGGAGGCCTCTTCTCAGAATAAGTTCCAATACGGGCCCAATACGAAGTATGAACTTCACACACATCATTAAATTTCTATGCCATGTGTGCAGGAGAATAGCAGCAGTAGAGCTGCTATCCTCCTTGTGAAAGAGTTCGTCCAGGGTAGTACTTATTTCAATACTCAATACTTAATATATTTATTGCATTCATATGGTATACATGTCTTAAATTTAAAATAATGCTACACATATGAGCCCTTTATTAGGGATAACAATAACAGCAGAGGTAGGCCGAGGTTTCGATTATTAATTAAAATTGTTATTTATCAAATAATAACATTTAAAAAAAAAAGAAATACATCATATTATGAGTATAATTATGTCACTTGAATGTTTGAATTTAATTAAATTACAGTAGCATAACTTTATAGTATATAATTAACATTTATTTATTATTTAAATTTATTATAATATTATTATTTTTATTTGTCATCAAAGTATTCATTTAAATTGTAATAGCATTTATTAATAAGATGTAATTTAAATTTATTTAGAAACAGTGAATACTTTTCCTCGTTTTTAATAATGGGCGGGGGCTCATTGAATATCCTCACCGACATCGAGTGGGGACTTGAGCTGTGTATGTGTGGCCGAGATCGTGGCAGAAGCAATCTATTGCGTGGTCTAAAAGTGTGTCGTTGAGGCAGGTCGTCAGTGTTAGTGTAAAGTTACGGTCAGATATCCAGTTTATGACCTCAGTGAAAACATGGTGAATTTCTGCATTCACGTTGTCGCCGATACCACATGATGTCAAAAGTAAAACATCGTCGGCAACTTTCAAATTTCTGCTGCCAAGCAGTAATTTTAGCGTTACTGCGTTCCGGTTTTGAAGGGTAAGGGTGCTGTTAAACTTACAGACAAACGGGACTCGTCAAATTATGTATGGTCACGGGCGCAGTAGGTATCAGTGCCCCTCAGATTGTGAAAGCTCTGAGTGGCATTGCAATTGTTACGGACAGGCGTGTCGCTTACCATCAGGCGCACGACTTGTTCGTCCCGTCACTTGATATTATAAAAAAAAAGAAAAACGAAAACCTCATGATAAATTTGAAATCGAAAAAAAGCCCAGATTTCAACCCTATAACCAGTAGATTGCCACGATTGATTTCTTATTAGTCAATGATATTCTCAGGTAAGTTTTGTGTACTCAATTTGTAGTTGTAATTTAAATATTTATAGAATATCAACATGAACTATTATTTAGTATTCGAGTGTGGTAACCGGAAATATTCTTAAATATTTCACGAGGGTATATTCGAGTAATTAAATAATAAAAATCGTCACCAAAATTGAGTACAAAAAACTTACCTGAAAATGACTGATAAAGGCTTACCAATTGCAGTAGCTCAGCAGGCGGCGGGCGCGGATAATGCGCCGGAGTGCCCGATGTGGACGGAACTTGATCAGTGGACACCTGCCTCGACGTTGACATATCTGCAAGCAATAGAAATCTTAATTTAATAACTTACACAGAGTAAAATATCTGTCAGCTCTAATTAAAAAAATTCCCGTAGTACTAATACGGTTCATTTTGCTCGGGTCGAGCGGCGGCGACAATGGCTTTATTTCAGAATTAATTTCTTTACAAACGACATTAAAGCCATCTGAAAAATGTATATCGTATAGTATACGTGTTCTATTTACTTTAGTTGATATAAAAAATATCATTGTTATTATATTACATAGTAACTCTTGAATCTCTGAAAGTCTGTCTTTTCTAGTGTGTAAATTTTTATGAATCCTGTTTTCACACCGTATAGTAATCAGTGCATATTCTCAATTTTACTATATATTTTTTCCAAAGTGATTGGTTCAATGTTTTCACTGTTATGCGGAATAAACCAAAGCCGTTTGAGGTTGTATAGACTCATAAGTACCTAAGTACAGAAAGGAGTGAACACGTAAACAGACGATCTGATCATAAGTAGCAATCGCCTGTACTCTATCCAATAATTTATTTAACTTTTGATAAAAAAATGCAACACTTCCTGGACTCTTTTATTTTTTAATTTTAAGTATTAAAAACTTCTTCTTAAATAAAATCGAATCACTAATTGATTAGACTTCGAACTGTCTAAAGTTAAATAAATGGTATCATGACCATCTTGCGTCTTCAGCAACTTTCAATTCGATTTGCGTCAAGAGTAAGCAATTTGATTGCTATAAGACGCATGAAACCTTATGTCCACATTTCACATCAGTGCGCCTTACACGAACGTTTTAATTTTATATTATTATTATCAGCCATTTTGTCTGGTAAAACGCACGGACTATTGCAAGCGAACCCATTGGTGTGTGCCGTTGTCCAACCATTTTTCTTCACGCATATATCTGAAGAAGACGCTAGATAAACATGAAAACGCACTGCAAAACTATTAGCATCGTGAATGCGTTATGACTTCGTGTGGCTTGCTCTTCCTACTGACTAACTGTCATTGCTGTCCGCCGATCAATTTAACCAGATTGGGCTTCGGCACGAAAGGAAGGCCTACTACCAGTTAGCTCCCTAAAAGTTCAATGCGGACCTTTCGGACTGTTGGTTCCACTCTTGGTTCCACTAGTGGATCTAGTAGGATTTTGGAGTTTGTAGTACTGTCATGTTCTATTTGTTAACACATTTGTCTCCACTATTGTTCTAAAGATACTGGCCGTACAAGTGCACTAACACTTGAAATATGCATCGCTGTCATATATATACAATGCATTGGATGACCTACGCCTAAAATGCATATCCAGTACGACGTTCAAGTCGACAGTACGCGTGTATCAAAATAATAGGGCTAGCACGACAGGACACGACTTGCGTGAGAGCGACAAACGCGAGATACTGCTATTCTCCTTCACAAATTTTTGTGACGATATTATACATAGCGTAATGAACTTTATGGTCAATTGTGTATATATTTATAACATTTTATTGACAAACCTGGATTGCTAATAATATTGTGTGTGTGCGGCTAGCCTTACAAGTTCTTTCTGTTACTATTTAACCTTAGGAAGTCTATTAAAATTTTTATTGAATTGATATTCAACTATTTTTTGTGTGAAATTACTCCACTAGTTTGTTATAATTATTAATACAAAGATTTTTTCTAAATGTTCGCATTTAGAAAAAATTCCTTCAATCTGGCCGGATTCGAACCGACGTCTTCTAGCAAACTGTGTCAGACGCTATGCCAACTAAGACATGGAACGAATCAGCGGACCTCACGACTTCTTCTCTGTGCTTTTGGTCGTATCTTTGTATTTGGTTTTTTAACGACTTTTTAGCCGTAGGGTCATCTATGAAAGTACTTCGTCACTTATTAAGTCTACTTTTCCTATTTTTAACTTCCTCGGAAATGTAATGAAAAACATTGTATGCCACACGGGCTGTATAGCAATTACAAAATATTCGGGCCATTAGTTTGCAACTTTCGTAATTGCCTATTTACTGTCCTACTGACACAATGTATTACACTGTTTTTGTTATACCAATTATTACTGGTGATTGTTCAACTTACCATCTCTTTTGCGGAAGAGGCGCATCCTCCGCCACTTGCGCACGGCACTTTTAAACCGCTTCATCAGCACGCAGTTCATTAACGCATTTACAACACGGGCTCGCCATGTTGTGCACATCTACTTGCGTATATTCTTATATTATGATAAGCCTCTCCACTGCTGCTGCATTAGAGTTCAAGTGATAAGCTGCCTATATCGTTATCACATAAGCCATCTGAAGAAACCTGGGCACGTTCCCTTATTTCGTTTACTCATGGCGCCATTAGTGGCCATTCAAGAACTGTATTTTGGACGAGATACGATTATAACAGTAGATTGTATAGGTCTTCGTATAGTCATTCGTAGATATTTTCTTAAAATAAGGGTTGAAACTCATTTGTAAGCATGTATTAGCATCGTTGTCTTACGGCGCTTTCAAAGATGCTAGAAGCGTTGAACTACGCGTGAGTGTTACGACAGTGACGCTGCAACTGCTCCTCTAAATACTCGTATTGTATGATAATTAGTAGAGACGCGGCCGTAGCGTCACAGTGGCGCCATTGTATCGCTTCTATAAGCATCTGATTTGAAGGCATCCTTACAGTGAACAACCTCACGCCGTAAAGCTACCTCCTTATCGGTATTTTACAGGATATCACGGAAAGTGTGTGATAGAACTTAACGATTTAATTACGCCTTCCCCCTTCGACCATCGGGGGACAAGACGTAGGCTGGGGTCCACCCGTAAATTGTGGATATTCCAAGGATTCGTCCGATACTTTTCATTCATCGCGCTCACCCCGCGCGGTCGCTGAGCAAAGTCCGCGGCACCGCCGCGCAGCGACCGCGTGCGTCTAACTGTCATGGCAAAATACGCTCTATTTGTTTACGCTTTTACGTTTTAACTTAAATGAGCGTCCTGGGCACGCGGGCGAGTCTGGCTTGAATTTGGTGCCCACGCGGCGGTCGGGCGCGGTTGTATTATTGAGATTAATGTACACAAAGGCGTGGTAACAGGGCGGTCGCCGCGCGGCAGTCGCGCGAAAACTTTCTTCTGGTGTAACTGTGCGCTTACGCTTCCACATTTATATGGCGAACGGCTATAGAAAATTCTGTGTCTACGCTTATAACTTCAACCTTTTCGAAGTCAGAATAAATAGGCAATATTTAGGTGTTAGCATGATTTATCATCGACCTCATAGTGACTTTCCAACAAGTAGGAAGGAGGTAAAATTTTGTATAAAAATAAACCTCGTACGTGATTTCTACGTAACTTTTCAGGACTGAGATAAAAAAGTGTGGTATAAAATATAGTACCTAAATCTAATATGTTTGTAGTTAGTATTTTAATTACTTAAATTATACTCTTTTCGGATACTGTGTTTCTTTAGTAAATAATTTAAATCAAGAACTTTACAGCTTTTGCTTCAACAAAAATTTGTAAAAACAAAGTATGTGAAAATGCGTAACGTAGGTTTGCATTCTAAGGATCCGCAATGCGTGTTTTATAATAGATGGACTATGCTGGCAACGTTTCACTCTTAAACCGATTGTTCACTACATTTCGCACATATAATAAGGCCACATCTGCGAAATGACAACTTTCAGAAAAGCGGTAGAAACAATCTACGAACGAAAATAGTAGGGTAACTTTTTTATGCTTAAACAGGACAGTTATACATAGAGGTGGGCGTTTAAACGAAAAGCACTTAAAAAGTTTGCTTTTTAATATAAGCACATAAGCACGCTTATCGTTTTAAGCGTAAGCGTTGCTTAGTTCAACTCAACATTTTATTTTTTGTAATGTGCCTAAGCTCTAAGTCCCGCAATCTATGTTTCCTAAACAAATTAATTCGTCAATGTTAATGTTATAAATAAAAATAAAACTCGTGTTTTACAAATAAACTTTCTTATCCTATAATATTTACTGGCCTATACGCTCGCTTTTCGCTGTCAACAGAAGGTTGCAAGTCTATGCGCTTAAACGTTTAAAAGCTTCAGACTAAAAAGCGTTTAAGAGCATTTTTAGGCACGCTTATTTAAAAAATCACAACGTTTAAACGTTTAAAATTTGTAAACAATATTTTCCATATTTAGTTATAAAATTTTCATATTGTTTCGTGTAATTATTTTTATCACTTTCTTGTGATAAAGGCATTTTTGACGTATGATCAGTAGTGACTTTATAACTTCTATATCAAGGGACCGATATTGCTTATATATTCACACAAATCATTCGCGTAAGTCGAATTCAAGCACAGTCTTTCGACTCGAGTCGAATGATTACTCCTGCATGAATGATTATTATGTCGAAACAACTCTGAACCATTCACCATGACCATATCAAAATATCCCTGTCCCCTTTTTTCACACATTTCCGGTATTTACCATATCGATGCCTTACTTTCTCAAACTCGTATCTGATTATTCACGAGA